TGCACAGGCTCCTGGGAGAGGAAGTGTGGATAGTGACCTGTGCTTGCACACAGGCTTCTTGGTGGCGACAGCAGCGGCCTTAGTGTCTCATGCCTGTCTCTGGGGTCCGCGCTGATAGCCACGACTTGCACCGTCCCTGGAGCTCGTTTAGGCGGCACTCTTAATCCCCTCTCCTCGAGCACCCCAAAACAATGGTCTCTTGCCTCTTAGGCAGCTCCAGACTTTTTCTCAGACTCCCTCCCAGCTAGCCGTGGCGCACTAACCCCCTGCAGGCTGTGCTCACGCCGCCAACCCCAGTCCTCTCCCTGCGATCCTACCTCTGAAGCCCGAGCCTCAGCTCCCAGCCCCACCCGCCCTGGCAGGTGAGCAAACAAACCTCTCAGGCTGGTGAGTGCTGGTTGGCACCAATCCTTTGTGCGGGAATCTCTCCGCTTTGCCCTCCGCACCCCTGTTGCTGCGCTCTGCTCTGCGGCTCCGAACCTTCCCCCTCCGCCACCCGCAGTCTCCGCCCGCGAAGGGGCTTCTAGTGTGTGGAAACCTTTCCTCCTTCACAGCTCCCTCCCACTGGTGCAGGTCCCGTCCCTATTCTTTTGTCTCTCTTTTTTTTTTTCTTTTGCCCTACCTAGCCAGGTACATGGGGAGTTTCTTGCCTTTCAGGAAGTCTTCTGCCAGCATTCAGTAGGTGTTCTGTAGGCGTTGTTCCACATGTAGATGTATTTGTGGTGTATTTGTGGGGAGGAAGGCGATCTCCACGTCTTACTCCACCGCCATCTTGAAGGTCTCCCCAAACTAATAGCTCTTAAAAACTTGTGTCTATAGCTCCAATTCAGTGAGAATAAAGAGCTATACAAATGCCAGCCCATAACATCAACATGTTCAAAAGATCAAAATCGTAGCCACACAGACAAGAACTCCCATTTGTTCAATGACTCTGCTACAGTGGACACATCTGCTTTAGATGGACGGTTGGATTTCCTGATATTTATGATTCCTTTGGAATCTAAGTTTCTATGTAAGTATAGGATGGAGTCTACAATTTGAAACTCAAGATAATACATTTTTATTCTTCATTATTTGGAATATGATTGCCTACATTACTTATAGTGGCTACACAAACAGAACAGATATTATACTTTCCTCTTCATTGTCATTACCATTTCCAAAGGCAACTAAGTAACTCTTGTATTCGTCCACACTTAAGGAAAACAGATTATTGGAAGAGCAGAGGGCCATGCTTAGAGGAACACTGTTTTATCTCTGCTCTACACAAGTGCATGGCTCATGTGTAACTTTGACTCTGTCTGAGCATGCTGGCAGATACTTGTTGAGCAATATAATGCATAGGTTCTGGAATCAGAGAATACTAAGTTTAGAGGGCCATTCTCAAAAGGTAGAATGGCATAGTGGTTAACAACACAGTCTCTGGAACCCAAATGCTTGAGTATGAATCCTGATTTCCCCACTTACTAGCTCTGGGACCTTGACTTTCTATCCTTCAATTATCCCTTCTGTAAAATGGGAATAATAATAGTACCCTCCTCACAGATTTGCTGAGGAGGTGAAATGTGTTACTATTTGTGCTTAGTACAACTGATGGCACATTATAGGTGCTCTCTTTGTGCCATAAATGTAAATCCTCATTCAAGTGGATCTGACTCAGGCAAGTTGGGATTCATGCTCTAGCCCTGCCACTCACTCATTTTATGACCTTGGGCAGCACTTAACCCCTCTCTACTCTGTCTATACAGGAGATTTTAAATAAGATCACCTACCTCAGAGAGGTATTGTAGGGATTGAATGTGCTATACATGTGAAATTACTTAATAGGATCCAGCATGTGGTAAGTGTTAGGAAATATTAACTATTATTGCCATTATTAAAAGTGATGTCTCAGGACTTCCCTGGTGGCGCAGTGTTTAAGAATCCACCTGCCAATGCAGGGGACACGGGTTCAAGCCTGGGAAGATCCCACATGCCACAGAGCAACTAAGCCTTTGCGCCACAACTACTGAGCCTGCGCTCTAGAGCCCGCGAGCCACAACTACTGAAGCCCGCACGCCTAGAGTTCATGCTCCGCAACAAGAGAAGCCACCACAATGAGAAGCCTGCACACCACAACGAAGACTAGCCCCCACTCTCCACAACTAGAGAAAGCCCGTGTGCAGCAATGAAGACCCAACACAGCCAAAAAAAGAAAGTGATGCCTCAACTCTCCTAGTTTTGTCCATTAACTCAATACATATCAATTCTAAACTTTTCTAGACATCTTGCCTTCTCTGTCTTGCTTCTTTCTAGACATTTGCAATTTCATGGCTGGCCAACACCACAACTGAACTCAAAGAAAATGAAACTTTTCATGATCCCCAGCTAATAAGTGCCTCTTAGGTTTCCCTCCTTGCTGGGAATGGCACCACTACCTTCCTCCAAACTCAAATAGTGGATGGTGCTATCCCTTATTGTATTCATCACTTTCACTCACACATGCCCAATTCTATTTAACTCTGCATAGAAAGCCTCATTTACTCTCAACTCCTTCAGTGACTCCTAGTTGCAGAAATCATGGTTTCTAGGTTGACTATTAAAATGCATTCCCAATTTCTTTCTCTGAATCCATTCTCTTATGTTCTAGCCTTATTTTTACTAAGTACATCTAAAATATTATTTCTCTCTTGAACAACCTTCATTTGCCGTGACATTAAATAGAGACAATTCAGCCTGATTTATAAACACCTTGCACATGACAATCCTATCCAACCTTTCCAGATGTGGTTCTCCTACCGTCCTCAGCGTTTACCGTGCTCCTCAACTATCCTCTGTCCTTTGCTGGATCTAGTCTTTCTTCATAGTCTTTCTAACTACCCCTCCCCCAAAAGCAAGTCACTCAAAATTCCCCTGGCACATTTTCATACTTCTTTTATAATAATGACTGTATCCATTCAGAGTCAAGTATTTTGTCCAAACCACCACTTGCCTGATCAAGGCACAAGTTACAGGAGTAAATGTATTTAGTGCTTTTCTCCATTTTTTGTATTCTGAGTAGTGACAATCTCATGAAGTATTCCTAGATCAGTAAACTGTTACTGTTAAGTTGCTTACACAGAGATTGCATGTCTACGGCAATTGCCCTAGGCTTACAGTTTACCTTGTGCCTCTGTTCTCCTAGTTAGCCTGAGTGATTGACGTGTGACTCCGTTCTTGCCAGATTTTATCACCTGTTGCTAGTTTACTCTGGTTCAGAATACTGATTTTGCAAAAGAGAGGAAGCTAAGGTTGTTATTCTATCCATATTTATTTCCCTAGGAGTAACAAATAGATCCAGAGAATAGGTGCCTTAGTTTTAAGTGTGCTATTACCTACAAAAGTAAAATATATATTTCTTGTACCAGGACCTTGTAACATTTTAATTTTGTAAACATCCTTCATAGAAATTAGCAGATTTTGACTATACAATTAAATATAGTTATTACTTGATTCATCTAAGAACTGATATCTTTTAAAAAATAAGTATTATTTTACTTAAAAATATCATTTAATCATTCCCTGATTTATAATTGTTGATAGGACAGTTTTAGGTCACTTAATTCAGTATTTAATTGAGTTAAGCCTGTATTTAAATATTTTAAAAACTAATCAGGTTGAAACTTTAATAATTCAACATAAAAAATGCTAGCAATTTTGTTTCTTTTTCCTATTTTGTTCTTTTACATAGTAACATCTCTTCCTGAAGGTCACATTTCTTCCCTATTAGAGAAAATTTGTATACTAACCTATTTTACCCCTTTTGTATTTGTGGACAGCTGGTATGCAAAATCTGAATAAACAATACAAAAATGATCCTCTTTCCAATCATGACAAGTGCTAAAAAATTGATATAAAAATTTAAAGATCATTTAATTATATTGTATTAGAATGATCTCCGACTTAAAATTACTCCCGCATTATTCCACTATGTACCTTTTAAGTAGACTACACAAAAGACCAAGCGATATACCTAATGCACCTGAAGAGTCATCATTTATTTATTTATTTATTTATTTTTATTTTATTTATTTATTTTTTAACATCTTTATTGGGGTATATAATTGCTTAACAATGGTGTGTTAGTTTCTGCTTTATAACAGAGTGAATCAGTTATACATATACATATGTTCCCATATCTCTTCCCTCTTGCGTCTCCCTCCCTCCCACCCTCCCTATCCCACCCCTCCAGGCGGTCACAAAGCACCGAGCCAATATCCCTGTGCCATGCGGCTGCTTCCCACTAGCTATCTACCTTCCGTTTGTTAGTGTATATATGTGCATGCCTCTCTCTCGCCCTGTCACAGCTTACCCTTCCCCCTCCCCATATCCTCAAGTCCGTTCTCCAGTAGGTCTGTGTCTTTATTCCTGTCTTACCCCTAGGTTCTTCATGACATTTTTTTTTTCTTAAATTCCATATATATGTGTTAGCATATAGTATTTGTCTTTTCCTTTCTGACTTACTTCAAGAGTCATCATTTATATATTTGAGTTTTGTTCAGCTTTTTTATTGTTGTTGTTGTTCAGCTTTTAATGCCTTTTCATTGCCTTTACGGTTGTCAGAAGTCAGCTAATAAAATACATGGGCGGAGATTTTCCTCTTGATCTGCCATATGTGTATGAATTTATTTACCTCAAATTCCCAAAATTCCAAAAGTGATTGTGGTTTCGGGAAGCAGTTTTAGGAGTCAGAGGAGGACAAGCATGTTTGGGAGGGTCACTGCAAGCTCTCCTTGCCCTAGCCAGACTTCGCTGGCCTGCTGACCACAGTCCTGGCACAACATCTATTTCCTCCCCACCCTCTGCCCAAGTCAGAGAAGTTGCCTTATTTGTCACAAAGTTCTTATATTCTTAGAGACACTTCATGCTGAGTTTATAGATTAAGAGACTATCTCTTAAAAACCTTTAAATACAACATTTCCTCTTTGGGAAATCTGAGAAATAGATCATGAATTGATATGTCTTTCTTTACTCTCTAGGAGAAGATTCTGAAGATATACCAGCTTCAACGAAAGCTAAAGGTAAGATTGTTATCTTCAGTTCACTATGAGTTTTCTCTTAAGTCTGCAATATTTTTTCTGTCTGTTTTATTGAACTATTCTTGATGTGGTTTTCAGCTTTAAGCAATGTTTAGAGGTAGACTTATTTGTAAACAAACAGTTTTTGTATGTTATTTGGAAAACATATATATATATATATATCCATATATTGAAGCCTAACTGGACACTGATATATTTACAAGTAATTATTGAATAATTAGTTGGCCAATCTGCTTACAAGAGCAATATTTCAAAATTATCGTTTCACCAAGGATTGGGGAGATGTTATTTGACAGCAGGAAGTTCACATAAATGTTCAAATATGAGATTGATGTGTTTATTAAGAAAAATTAAGATAACTTGCCTATACTGGCAACAATAACATAGAGGAAAGATGGAAGAAAGGAAGGAAGGCAGGAAGGAAGGGAGGGAGGAAGACAGATCTCAAACCTCAGAAAAATTTGCTACAACCAGATACATGACCTTAGGCGAGTATTTCCAGGACAGATTTCTTCATCTGTATTGTAAGGTTTTCAACTAATTTAATTTAATGCATTTTTTTTCCTGAAGGGTTTCCTGGCTTCCTAGTTTAGCTTGTTATATGATAGATATTTGATGTTCTACTTCGAGACTTGCCTGTGGACAATAAGAGTTTGCCTAAGAGGTGTTCTTGTCATCAAAATATAAGTTTTGTGGCAGTGTCTGGAATTAATTAACAGTGTGGAAAATAGCACTTTGAGAAAAGACACAAGAGAATAGTTTTCTGATTCTTATGAAATGATTTATACTCATCTTAAGATAATTTTGAATACTAAAATTTTTAGATTTTTTTAAAAATTGAATTATTAAGAACTATAACTTTTAATATATTTTTTAAAATTTCTAGACCATAGCTTCTCAAACAATTTTATACACAAATCATTTGGAAATCTTGTTAAAATGAAATAAGTTGAGGTTGGGGACCAAAAACTGTGTTTATATCAGTTTCCCAAGTGATGCTGAAACTACTGGCACATGGATCACACTTTGAGAAGGAAGTTTTTTGAACTCATTTAGAATTTGACAAAATCTAAAACCTGCTTTAGATGAAACACACACACACACACACTCATATCTTAACATTTCATAGTTTTACAGGAAACCCGCAAAAGTTCATCTGTGGACACCAGTTAAAAACTTCTAACCTGGGAAAGGGGGTTCAAATGGATAGTGTCAAATTATCCTTTGTTAGATATACACATGGTACATCTCACTCAAGCAAAAGAGTCCTTGAATCACATGAGAGAAGGAAATGATACAGAATACTAGCCTGCTGCTATTCTTTCAGGACAAGGATGATCATTAAAACTTATGTCTCTCACAAATTTAAAATTATTTTGACTAAAATGTTTGTTTCATAGCCAGATTCCATCCTTACCATATTATAACTGAGCATCAAAAACCTCTTCTGAGAAAGGAATGGGTGTCAGCTAGCCCTCCATTAACATCAGGACCAGTTTCTATCTGAACAATTGCCTGTAACATTTCCCATTCTTTTCTTTCATTGCCTCCTCTTCTACTCCTGGATCTTACCTACTAAATTTTGTAGTTAAAGGCTGAACAGAATCTGAATAAGAACCTAGAGTATATTCTAAGGAGGGCAAGTAGCTCCTGTTTCTTTCATACTTTGCATTTTTTGACATTTTTCAGTTCCCTACATATTTGTATAATAGCTGTGAATGTACAAGTTATTTAATTTCATATTTTTGTATCTACTAGAAGCTGAAGATGTGTCTTCCACAAAGAAGCAAAAAAGTAAGTTTTTTTACAAAGATTAAAACTACTGAGGCATTCTGTAGATGGTATATATAAACTGAAACTTTAGACTCCCTTAAAAAGAAAAAGAAAAATATTTTTAGCACAGACATGAAGAATAACATTAAAGTAGGTCTCTTATATTTCAAAGAGAAGTTCTGCATTTTTTGCGTCAGGCAAGTGGCACATATTTGGAGGAATTACAAAGTAATGATGGAAGTGGCACTTATTGCAAACCATTCTACACAGCTCTGATCCTGAGCACTCCAACCGAATCTGTGCTTAAATGAGTGCTACTGTCTACTTTGTAAAAAGACAGCTGAAGTGATATGCTGAAATTTTTTATATCAAAAAGAAAAAAAATGTAGAAATAGGTCTCAGCAATTCAATTGCTTAGAAACTCATTCTAAGAATGAAAATTCTTTTGGATTGTTCTCGATATATGGCAGGCTCTTAATGTTCAATCTTTGGGATCGTTGATTTTAGAATGCAATCAATATTCATATGCAGTTACAAAATTCAATGTCCAAGATTCTCATTATTTCAGTACTTCTAAATTAGATATTTTTCTTCATATGGTGAAGCAATACATCTTGAATTCACATATGCATAAAAGTCATTGCTGGACAGACTAAAGGAAGCAATTTTTAAAATAGGTGTAACCTAAGTTTGCTTCACATAATGCTTTTAAAGTAAAGAATAGACATTTATCTGAGGAAATGATGTCAATCATGTTCTCTGGGTTTTACAATGTTTCTTAGATGTATTTCTGAAGGAAATTACAAAAATGCCCTCTATAATAGAAAATGCCTCCTGTTCTGTATTAATACTTGAATTATTGAACCAATATTAAGTGCCTACTATGTTCTAAGCACCATTTAGATGCTGGGGCTTCTGCAACAGATAAGAGGGATACTCGTTATGACCCTTAACATAATCAGGTTGTGTGGAATATAAAGAAATAGGCAGTTTTAATACTTTCTGATATGGTTGCAAAATCCATAAAGTCAATCTGGGCATGTTTCTGATTTATATAGCAATGCTTTCCCAATTGTTAACCTACTCATAACAAATTGTGGCTTTATCACATAACACTCAAAATCTCTTATTTCATGAATAAATATTAAAACATAATGAGATAGGTGGATTATATTAATGTCAGTTTCATGGTTGTGATATTATAGTATAGTTTTGAAAAGATGTTAACCATTGGGGAAAACTAGGTGAAGGATACGTGGGCTCTTTCTGCATTATTTCTTACAACTGTATGCGACTCTACAATGATCTCAAAGTAAAACGTTTAATTAAAAAGAAGTAAATAAATAAAATAATTCCATTATTTTAGTAAAAAAAAGTACCAAGGTATCCAGTACTTTAAGTTCATTTGGGGATTTACTTGTAGCAAAACAATATTTTCTATTTTCATCTTACCATGAAGCAGTTCTATAGTTTGATATTCATGAGCCTTTTATATAAGATCTAGAATAGGCAGCTATGATGGCACTTTCACTAATAACTATTTGACATCAATAAAATAAATGTCAGAACAGTGCCTACGGATCAGAAGGTTCAGCTGTAAAGTAGCCTGTCGTTGATGAACTCTTCCCCTTTTAGTACTGGTGCTGCCGTTTACTGCCATCCTTCTGTGTAACCGTCCAACCCCCAGTGGGGAGGGGGGTTGTGTTCCTGCCTCTGTCTGAGGCTAGAACAAAATAGAAAACAATTCTGGATGAGATAGAGTGGAAAGAAGAACTAAACTCAAGATTTCTCCAAACTGTTTTCATCACTGAAAACCCAATGATTAAAGTCAGCTGACATCATGGATGATGAAATCAGAATAATCCCTTGTTGCTTTCCTTGGCTTCTTTCTACACACACTTTGCTTTATTCTACTTTGTAAACCCTTAGGCTCACATGGATTTGGCCAGCACGCCCCTCACCCCCATATCCGACATACTGCTAGCTGCAATTGTCATTCTCTTTCCTGGCCATGTGCAAGAAGTCTGTGGTTGGTTGACAGAATGCAAATGGATACGATGGACCACACTGAAGAGTCAGTAGGGGTCCATCATGGTGAGGAGGGGCTAAACTCACCATCTCTTAACAAAATTGCTACCTGGGAGCCTCGGCTCACTGGACCCAGAGCTTATGCCATATCCAATGCGCACACTGCCTCTCTGGGCTTTAACTCCTTTCCTGTGTTGTTTTCTACCTTGACAACAGAGCTGCTACCTGGAGGCACTGCCCTAAAGAGTAACTGTGCCATCTCAGGAGAGTGCTTGCCTCCAGAGTAAGGGCAAGTGGAAAACCTCAAGACTTTACAAATCACAAGGCTCTCTGTGGTGTTATTAACACACACACACACACACACACACACACACGAGTTGGTTACTTTGCATATTGATAAGCTCATGTTTTGAAACCTGTTACTACATAACAGTTTTTCCAAATACTGTGCACATCCTAGATTCCTATAAACTAAACACTTTGACTTTCTATGCCAGGCTTTTAAAATTATCATTTTAATAATGGCTTATTATGTGCCAGGAAGGATTTCAAGTGGTTCACATATATGAACTTATTTAATTTCCACAATATTTCTGTGAGGTTTTTTGTTGTTGTCTTGATTTTACATGTGAGGAACTGGCTGGTTGTTGCCAAGGCTATCTGGCTGGAGAACCCATGTCCATATGTATTGTATTAGACTGCCTCACAGTGTTTTACCTCTGTTCCTAATCACATTCTACTTGTTTTAATAAATCATCATCCTCTATTCTTTAGGCCCCATCAGCTTCTTCCAATGTGTCTACTTGGATGGATACAATGGCTATGGATTTCAGTTTCCTGTCACTCCTGCACACCGCCCTGGAGAGAGCTCTGGCCAACCAAGTTCTCTAGAACAGAAGCAACAAGGACAATAAGACACATATACACAGACCTTACAAGTGCTTTAAGACTTTGAAAATAGGATCTTCTGTTTGTCCAGAGTGGCACATGCAATTGAAATCATATAGTCCAGGGAATTTCTTTGAAAATATTTTACTCTTCTGCTTGGTGTAGAAAGAAAGAGTGAGCAAAGGGATTGAATGATAAGTAGACAAGTTGGAGGGTCTGGCGCTCAAGAATCTGTCATTTGTTTGTTGCTGGGTATGGGTACTTATATTTTTCTATTTCCACTCACTGTAGGGTTGTTCACAAATTAGGTTAAATTTTACTTAATAATGGTCTTTTAGACATAATTGACACAATGACAAAATGAAATTTCTGGCTTCAGTTAGATATTTACTTTTAAGTGAAAACACGGACTATGCTTTAAGTTTAAAGGGTATAGGAGCTTATACAAAAGCTGCTCTTTTCCATCATGTAGGTAACTAAACTCAATTTACCCAGTAAGCTGATGTTTAATAGTTTTTTTTTAACATCTTTATTGGAGTACAATTGCTTTACAATGGTGTGTTAGTTTCTGCTTTATAACAAAGTGAATCGGCTATATATATACATATATCCCCATATCTCCTCCCGCTTGTGTCTCCCTCCCACCCTACTTATCCCACCCCTCTAGGTGGACACAAAGCACCGAGCTGATCTCCCTGTGCTATGTGGCTGCTTCCCACTAGCTATTTTACATTTGGTAGTGTATATATGTCCATGCCACTCTCTCACTTCATCCCAGCTTCCCCTTCCCCCTCCCCGTGTCTTCAAGTCCATTCTCTACATCTGCGTCTTTATTCCTGTCCTGCCCCTAGGTTCTTCAGAACCATTTTTTTAGATGTTTTAACAGTTTGATTTGATTTCTGTCTATCTCTATTTTAGTTGTGACTATGCTCTAAAAATGAGTAACAGTTGCACCAAAGAATGCTTTAAGTTCCTTATGATGCTATTTTAGAGCTCAAAATATCTCTGACCTTTAGACATAAGATGGAGTAGAAATGTTTGATGAATCTTATCTCTAAGATTTGTCTTGAATTACTATTAGGACATTCACTCCAGTGGAAATATACCATCCAATTAGGCAAGTCTGGTGAATCATTTGTTTAAGTATAAGCAAATGAGATGTAGAATTGTCAGATTTCTCCAGACTGTGCCCTAATCAAAATGTCACCTGGGTGAAATTTTAGATCAATCACTAAATTTGGGTGACAGATACAAGAGTATTTTCATTTCACTTTAATAGGATCATTCTATGGAGTTAAACAGGTTTTATTTCTCAAAACAGAAAACTATGAATGTCATTAGAGGTGAAGGAATATGTTTTAACCATAAGTGCTTCATGAGATGTCTTACTTATTTTTTAGGTAATTGGTTACCAGTGTCAATGAAATGAGTGACAATCTTTAACTTATTTTGATGATGCATCACTGGAAATAACTATTACAGTTTTGCCATCATTTTGTCTCCCAGTGATATAAACACTTGTGTTTTTTACCACATTTTTCTATCAACTCTAAAAGTCATGCCAGGGAATTCCCTGGTGGTCCAGCGGTTACGACTCTGTACTTCCACTGCAGGGAGGAAGGGTTCCATCCCTGGTCGGGGAACTATGATCCCGCAGGCTGTGTGGCGTGGCCAAAATAATTAAATAAATAAAAGTAGAAGTCATGCCACTGTGACCTTTATCATGTTTACAGTTGCAATTCAACTTATGACACATTAACTCAGGAAATATATTGAGTTATTCTTTCTGGCTTTATAATTATCTTCAGCAAAGTCTGAAGTAGACAGAGCCGACACTAGCCAAGTCATTTATTTTCAAGGACTGCAACTAAGTTTTTTAGGTCCAAGATGTAGGACTCTGTTTTACTAGAATATCATTAGGGTAGGACATCAGTAACATGTTAATTATTGATAATGAATTTTCAGTGACTTTTGTGAAAAGTTGATCTTGGCCACAGGCTGGTGGACCTAACTTACACCACAAAAGCCAATGGTACAATGAACCAAGATTAATGACACTCCTTATGCGGGGTGCCTAGAAGTGTGTAACTTCAGTACTGACCAGATGGTACCGTCTTGTAAAGCCTCTTCATGTAATAATGAAAACTTGTGGAAAGGACAGTGGATGAAGTTTATTGCTCAACTGCTGCCCCAGCTTGTCCAGTTTAATGACTAAAGGAATACAGAGCAAATATGACAGTTTTCTCAATTTCATAGAGAAGAATGGTTTCATTCTTTTCCTTCAGTGACTATTGAGCATTTACTCTTTCTAGGGCACTGTGTTAGGCACTGGACTATATAAGAAAAATATCAGAGATAAATTCTTTTCCCAGCGCTATCCTGACACAATATGTGGCCTTGGAAAATTTGCTAAACATACTGAGCTTGTTTCCCTGTGTGTAAAATAGGGATTTCAGGACAAACAACCTTATACCTCACACATGTACTGTGGAGACTGACAAAATATCTTAATATAGATATGACATAAAAAAAATTTTCTGAAATAATACTTTTGGATGTGGCACTACTTTTCCCTCTGAGTGCATTTCTATATTATTTTATTGTTTCTTTCACACTCATTATGAAAACTATTTGGTAAAAAAGTAAAATATGACAATTTCTTGTAATCAGAATTAGACAAATGAATTATGATATTAATGATATTAATAATAATTGTTAAGGTTTATCTGCTTAAAGTTACAATGATAAGAGCACGTGAAAAATATTAACTAAACTCATCTGTTCGTATGAGTCCATCAAATAAAGTATTTCTAGTCCTTTCATGTTTGTGCTTTACATTTTAAAAGGAAAAGATAAATGGTTGGTTAAAAGTCATTGTCTTTAGTAGTTCGCCTATATTTCATGTCATATTGGTCATGAACATGTAAGTAGTTAATAACTGTTTCAGTTCTTCATTTTGTCTAATTGGTATGAGCTACCCATCCCAACTCTTTACTCTGCCCCACACTTTACCTCTTATTAATAGATGAAGGTCTATAGAAAATAACTACCTAAGGTTTTAAATTTACGTTTAGTTTTCATAAAGCCTGATAATGGGACAAAGCTTTTTAGAAATAATTCCCATGAAAAGTGCTGGTATATTGCTTCCTTCTGGTACATCCCTGTCAAAACTCCTCATGGAAATATTGTGGAAACTAAAACTGTATATTGAGGGACTCATATTATTTCTTTGAGTTATTTTACTGGAAAAATCAGAGGGAATAGCCAATGTTATTGCTGATTGAAAACTCAGAGACAATCTAGCCCAACTAGCAATACAGAAAACAAACCTAGTCCCTATAGAAATGCACAAATTTGCCCAGTCACCAACTGTGTCAAAGCCAGGCCTAGAATATTAGTCTGCTAGCTCCCAAATGCCTTTAACTTTGTACTCAGGGTGCTATTACAAATCTTGGCTACTTTATCCAGCATCTCAAAATTTATTTTTAAATTATAATCAGTGTTAGAAATGTAATCCTGTGTGCAAAGACTTGCTTTTTTCTACATGAGAGCCTAAAAGGACCTTAAGAGTTTCATTCATTTGCTTTAGAGATAAAGAAACTGAATCTCAAAGATGTTAGGTGACGTGCCAAAGGGATTGCTAACTAGTAACAGAACTAGATTGAGAACCGGAATCTTCTGTTTTCTAATCCAGTGCATATAACCCACCCGGTGTGACTCCATATAAGTCTCCACCATCATCAACTTCCTGTGTAATTTACATACTCATTAAGATGTGGAAACAGCACAATTTTCCAGGAACAGGCTTTCAGACAACACTCTTTGCCCTACTCCTTTCAGGCCAATACTGCTGCTACCCTGTACCTGTTCCCCTTCAATAATCATATATGACCATAAAACATTTAGAAATTCCTGTGGATGCTTCCCTGTTGTATAAAAATAGTTTTATTTTTCCACACAGTTTAACTGTAAAAAAGTCAAAAGTCACTGAAAGACCCCAAATAAAAAGAAAACAACTCTCTTTAAATTAATCTCAATGCATCCAAAGATGCAGGTTAACAAAATAAGTAAGAAAAATACATGCTAACAAAAACACATTTAGACTCTAAAGGAAAGCTCAAAATAAATGATGAATTAGTGCATATTAATAATTAGAGTCATACAAATTTCAGAAGAAGTGCACGTTAATAAAGTGGTAATAGCAAAAAAAATTATTGGTTTCTCACACAGCCATGTTCAGTTCCAGGCCATGTACCCTCTTCAAGATCATCAATTTCTGAGTCAATTCTCCATGTTGAAATTTTAGCAAGAACTAACTGCTTGCATTAGGTCATTAGGGTATTTTACTTTTTCCCCCACTACATCCAAAGCTCTCTTAAATAAGTTAATAAGAGGTTGGGATCCCTCTGAGTAGGAGGGATCCCTCAGGATCTCTCTGAGTAGAGTTTCCAGGTCAGATGTGTTTTCAGAACAAGTCTGCGGTGGTAGAGAGTCCTATGGCCTAAGGGTCCTCAAACTTGAGGTCAGATTCTAATTCTAGAGTAACTCTGGTCATTCATCTCCTCTGTTCCTCAGTTCTTCATCTCGAAATGAAAACAAATGTTGCTGCCACACAAGGTCATTCATCTTTGCTGAGGAAAGTTACAGGAAAGTACCTTGGAAAGTAATATTGTTAAGACCTTTCAAACTCCTTCTGGTTTTGTTATTAAATGGTGCAGCTATGCTCTGAACTGGAGACCTAGCATTGCTAAGTGTCATGAGCTAAAGCAGCAAATGAAAGCCAGACCGGCATGAGCCAAACACAAAAATGGGAACATCACCACTGGCAAAAAAATTTCTGCTTTAAAAAAATTCACTGTTTTGTGTTCTTTTCATGGAGCTGCTATAAATCAGTGACAGCAGAATATCCTTCAAACCATTGAATCAGAACCCACAGAGCTTGTAAGATATCTGTGAAAAGGTAGTGCTCTGAATGTAAAGCTGAGACAGAACACCAATTGACTCTTGTGCCCTAGACACTGCCACA